CCAGGGGGCAGACCCGCCGCCGCCGCTGCCGTCGCGCGCGGCAGGCCTCCCGCCGGCCCCGCCGCCGGCGGCAACGGCGGCAGCGGGCCGGTTTTGTTGGGACAACGAGCGGCCCGCGCGCGGCATAGACGTGGGGCGCTTTGCCATCCAGGCGCGGCCCGTCACTGTGGGCGAGTACCATGCATTCCTAGACGCACAGTCAGAGGCGGCGCCGGCGACAGCGCCGGTGCAGGACCATCACAGCCGCGGCTGCCTGGGCAGGAGGCATGCCGCCAGCTGCGCCCTCTGCCGCGGCGTGGCGGCGAGCGGCGCGGCTGCCGTGCCCGCCGGCCTGCTGCCTGGCTCTTGGCAGGTCGTGGCGGCGCCCGCGGCCGGCGACGGCGCGCCTCCCCGCGCCGGCGGCGGCGGGTGCGCACGGCTGGCGGTGCGGAGCGTGTTTGGGCCGGTGCCGCTGGGGGACGCCTGGCTGTGGCCGGCCTATGTCAGCAGGGACCAGGCGGCGGCGTACGCAGAGTGGTTTGGGGGCGGCGGGCTGCGGCTGCCGACAGAGGGGGAGCTGCTGATGGCGATGCAGCAGCAGGAGCAGCAGGAGCAGCAGGAGCAGGAGGAGCAGCAGGAGCAGCAGGAGCAGCAGCAAACAGGGTGGCAAATGGACGAAGAATCGCCGGTCGATTTTGGGGTGTGGCATCCCGTTGATGTGGTGTTGGACTGCCAAGCGGAGGGCGGCCGCGGCAGCCGCGGCGCCTGCGGTTGCGGCTGGGGCGAAGGCAGCTGCAGGGGCGCGCACATCTCCCAGCTCAGGAGTAACGGCTGGGTGGGCGCCAACGCGTGACATTTGCAGGACTCCCGCCGCCCGTTGAGCCTGCGGGGCTTCCTGGGCGGGGGTCTGCCAGCCTACACATACTCGCGTGATTGACAGGTCCATGCGAATAGACAGTTGAGCAGGTAGAAGCGCTTGCTTGTCTACAGCTAGCGGCGCCGCCGTTCCCGGCCCGGCTGTGTGCAGTATATATCCTGGGTGAGCGTGCACCAACTGCGTGCCGCGCCCCCCCCCCTCCATCCACGCTGCACGCAGGAGTGGACAGACACCCTGCTTGCGCCCCACGACGGCTTTGAACCCTCACCCCTATATCCTGAGTGTGAGCAGCCGCGCGCTGGGGCGCACATGGGTTCCCTAGGGGGCTCCGCCGGAGCCCCCTAGCGGCGCGCCGGGGTCTTGTGCATGGGCAGGGTGCAATCCAAACGCCTGGGAGGTGGCCGCCGCCTGACGACAGCGGTCGCAAAGCTTTGTGTAGTCGGCTGGTCAAACAGGCGGTCAGCGTCCGCCGGCACAAAGGTGCATCCATTGGTGTTTTGTGCTGCCGCTTGGCGCTGCAGTAGGTCAGGCCCGCTGTCGCTGCCGGGAGCATGTTCAAGGGGCCGCGCACCCATTACGTTCGCCCGCAGACACGGCCGACTTCTTTGACGGCCGCCACTACGTGCAGCTGGGAGCGTCATGGGCGACGGTCGGGCCCATAGCCAAGCGCGGCAGCTTCCGCAACTTCTATCAGGCACGTTTTTTGGCACAATGTCTGGCTGGCTGTGCATGATAGAATCACGGACATGTCCTTTGCGTTTCCAACGTACGTCATGGCCGTAGGTCTGCAGCGACGCTCGGCGGCAGCTGCAGCGACCGCATGTATCGCGTGAGGTGGGGCTCGCCGGCTGCGGGCTGTACCCTGATGCTCATCCTCGTGCTGCACGCACTGCACACCGCGTGAAACAACAAGACCTGAAAATCCACGCCCCCCACGTGCCTGCAGGGCGGCTACGGCTTTGGGATGGCAACGTTTCGGCTGGTGGCGCCCGGCTGAGGGGGGTTGACGAGCAGAAGCAATGGGGCGGCGTGAAGCTCAGTTTTGGGCGTTGTTTGCAGGACGGATGGGCGATGAGCAGCAAGCAGCCTCTCGAGCAGCACTTCTTTGGTAATTTGGAACATTTGATTGGGCGTGATTGAATGGTCAGTGGCCTTTCATGAGTATGTCAATCGGTCTTTGGGGTTCGTCATTGGGATTCTTGGTGGTTGACTTTGTTTAGGTTCGTGTTGCAATGCAAGTTTCTGAGACCGCGAACTTGTAGATACCACTGGCTTCTTCACGGGCTGTGACTCATTGGTAGTCGCCGGCACTGCCTTGGACAACCTCTTGATGGTGGTGCAGGGCCACACATCTTGACCAGCACGCCCCGATGCCGCCCTTTTCCACCATTCGATCCAATTCCGCAAGTTCCCTAAATCATTCGAGTTCGGCTGCACTATTTCGGGCGGCTTGCGCCCTCCTCGAGCACTTGCGTCGACATTGGGGGTGTTGGTGGTGACCGGCTACTCGCCGTGCAAACTTGTGTTGGTGAAATCGTCTGCAGCGTGTGCGCCTCAAGCCATCTGTCGGCACAGCCCGTCATGCGCAGCCCTGCCGCCAGCCCTGGAGCTGTTGAGTGCGGCTATCAAACCTGATGGCACACAGCAAACGGCTGCGCTAGCCGGCAGGATGAGGTAGACAGCAGGGAAGGGGGGGGGAGCCACGCCATCAAAGCGATTTACACATCAAACAGCCCTGGTGGTCCCTCGCAGCGCTGCACGTGCTGCAATTGAAGCTGGATGCGTTCGGTTGGGGTCGGGGCTCTGTAGGTTCACATGTACATGCAAATTGCGCACACATATGCAGGCAGAGAATGTACAATTGGTAGCTGAAGTGAAGCCTCAGCAGACTCGTGACGCAAGGCTGCGGTGGCACATGTGCAAGGCGCATGTTTGACCAGCCTGTGCAGGCATTGACCATGCATGTACTGTCAGCGAAGCGACATGTGCAGCCGTGGCAATAATTGCAATGCATCCAAAACTTGCCAAGCAGCAAAACAATTGAACGTAGGCCCCCAACACTAGCCAGCGTGCGGACGCTTGTTGGCACGAAACTCCTGGACCCGACACGTCCGCGCCGAAGCGTCAGCGCCAAAGGCGCTTGCCTGAACTGATTGGATTGCAGTTGCGACACAACCTGTGCTATGACCCGGCCGCGCAGCCCCGAGCCCACAGGGGCCCAGACGCACTCACGCGGCGCACGGCAGCAGCAGCGCCCGCAGAGTCGACAAATCCGCAACGACACCCTCCCCATATGGGTCGGCCCCGCCCCCATCCAAAAAGCCATCATATTCAGCGGAAGCATCTGAAGAGTCCAAGCCTCCGGCAAATGGCGGGCCGGGGGCCGCGAGCAGGCGGAACGGCGCGCCGGCCGCCGCCGCGTGCACGAGCAGCCGCGCCGCGCCCGCGCAGCGCTCTTCCCACTCGCGCGCCGGCGCGGCCGGCTGCGGCGCGGGCGCCGCCTGCTGCTGCTGCTGTTGTGCATGCCCCTCGTCCGGTGCAATGACAGCAGCGGCGGCGGCGGCGGCGGCGGCACCGTCCCCATCCCCGTCCTGGGCCGCGGCCGCCGCGTGCCCCTGCTGGCCGCGCCGGCCCCTCAACAGACCGACCAGCCCCTGCACCCGCTGTAGC